GAGCGCAGGCAGAGGGGGAGGGACAGCCCAGACGCAGTGTGGAGGGCAGGGAGAGGGCGAGGGACAGACCAGACGCAGTGGCAGTGTGGGCCCTGGGCGGTGCCTGTCTGTGGAAGTCAGTACAGAACGGCAGCATCACTGCGCCCCATAACCGATGAACGCGCCCCCGCCCTGCCTCGCCCGGCCTCTCCTGCAACTGTGAAGCAGGCAGCCTGTCCTCTCCTTTCACGGCCTGCCAGTGCGCGCTGGCAAGAGACATCTCCTGGGGAAAGGCCACGCCACAGCCCTTCTCTTGGGATTTGGGGCACACATACATGTGAGTCTGGCATGTTTTTCAAGCCTCCGGGTCCAGGACTCACGATCAGCCACGTGAGATTTGGCCACCTTAACCACTAGCCATGGGCTGGCCCACAGCTGGGAGTTTTTATCTTCAAAACGGACGGACCCTCTGGGGTCCAACACCACCTTATGAACGTGACCCCCCGAGTGGGCGTTCCTGGCTGTGGCCCCTCGCGGAGTCATTACTGTGACGGTGGCAGGAATCTGCTTCTGTCCCCTGAGCTGCTAGCACCAGCCCGGCCCGGTCTGCCAGGACCCATCATAGCTCTGCTCAGGACACTCCATGTTACGGACGGAGACACCGAGGGCGGGTACGGAGTGGGCACCTGGCGTGGTCCGGCCCACGCCCTCCCTCCCTGCCCCGATTTGGATCGTCAGCTTTGCAGCCAGCCCCTGGAAGATGACCACGGCCGGCCTCGTGGCCAGGGCCTTGGTGGAGGCCGGGGAGGCTGGAGCCGTTACTCACAGTCCTTGACGGTGGCCTTGGTCTCTTCAGCGTCACTGAAGACGGTGTAACCTGGGAAGAGTGGAAAGCTGTGAATGGCACTGCTCTGCACCAGCGGGGTGGCCGTCCCTGCTGTGGGCGCTTTGTTTCAGAGGGTGCCCCGGAGGCCATCTGGCCTTAGGGAGCCTAAGTGGTGACAATCTCATTTCCCGAGGGCTCCGCGTGGGCGTGGGGTCGTGGGCTCTGGTCTGGGCCGGGGGCGGGCTCCTAGCTGGGCAGGGTCGCTGGCCCCAGCACCTGCTTGGGGCACCTGGTCCCTGGGCACACTGGCCTTCCTCACTGGTGACCTGCAACAAGCCCTGAGCACCCTCGCTCCTGGAGTCACTCTAACTGGAGTCGCAGCCGCTGGGGATGGACTGCCTGCTCTGTGCTGGGCACTGTGGGGTGGGAGCGGCCAGGGGAGGTCTTGGGCGACACGGGGACCTTGACCCCTTCCCTGGCAATCATGCGTGGGGCTGCTGTGGGGTTCAGGTCTTGTCGCAAGCACAGGGCAGGCCTGCTTCTGAGCTCAGCAGCCAACACCGGCCCTCACTCCCCTTGCTGGGCACATTTGTGGTCGCTGATTCCTGCCCCGTGCTCACACGTGCCCCTGGCACTGTGCCGTGCTCTGACGTGTCCCTGGCACCATGCTCTCATGGTGTTGGTTAGCTGTGGCACTTCGGTGGGCAGCACAGGAGGCTTGCGGAGGGACTCCTCTCTGCCCTCTGCCCATCCGGTTGACTTCACCTTCCAGTGACCAGGCTGTGTGTGTCTCAGGGCCTGGAATCCTGCTGCGGCACCTGCTGAGCCGGGCGGTGCCCTGCGCCCTGGTTCCTGCCACCTTCTCTCCTCATCCCATGTCCGGTCCTGCCCGCGTCCCCACCCACGGGTAACAGACATTCCTGTAGCAGCTCTTGTCCCAGCGGAGCCACCTTCGAGAAGGAACGGCAGCACTACCTCCGAAACGCGGCCCTAGGAGGCGGTCGGATGGCACAGACTGTCCCGACACTTGCGTCTCGATGACCGACCCACAGCCTCGCCTGTGCCTGAGGGTGCACGAGAGGGTTCAGGACGGAGCGGGTTCGGCCATCCACTGCTTAGCCCAGCTCCTGGCCCGGAGAAGCAGTCCCCCACTGAAGGCGGCGCCGAGGCCCTCTGGCCTGCTGGGAGCTGCGCTGCAAGCATCTCACTTGCAGCAGCCCTGGGCAGACGGGTGCGGCCACCTCTTGTAATGCCTCCCAGGGAAGGGAGGAGTCTGTTGGGAGACCCTGCACGGCGGCTGCTCAGAGTCTGGGGACAAAGCAGGCTGACGGACGCCTGGCATAGCTGGTGCTTCCTCTGGGGTGGGGCCCCCTCCATGGTCCCGGGAGCCTCCTGCAAGACTGCTCCCCTGGGAGGGTCGTGAGTGGAGCCTGAGCCCCACCCTCACAACCCCGTGCCTTGTCCCTTCAGGGAGTGCTGCTCGGAGCACGGACCGCCACTCCCAGCCCTCGTGGGCCCCGTCACTGGCAACAGCAAGCAGAGGTGGGCAGGGGCCTCCAGGCGCTGAGCTGCAGCCCCAGGGCACAGCCCGGTGGTGCTCAGGCCCCGTCCTTGGCTTGCCTGTCCTCGGGGTGGAGAAAGCGTGCAGAGCTGCAGGGCCCTTGGCGGCCTTCCCGCCTAAAGACCCCTCTTCGGCTGGGCACGGCCAGACTGCCCGCTTTCCTGCTATGGCCAGGGACTTCCTGCTGCCAGCGTTTTCCGGTCTTCCTAAAAGGAGGTGCTAGCTTCTAGAAAGGTCTTTCTTCAATGAAGCCAGGACACATTTTCTTTAGCTTCCAAAACCTCAGCTCTTGGCTACGTCAGGGATGGAACCGCCATCCAGCGTGCCGTGTCCCGCGTGCTGCCCGTCTTGCTGGGCGCTCCGAGCAGCCCGGCCCCGCGAGGGCGTGCCGCTGCCCCTTGGATAGACGAGGCGGTGCCGTGCCCTTAGGCAAGTGTGGGGGCTGGGGCTGGAGGGTGGGTCTTCCTGACCCCCGAGTCCTCATTGTGTACCGACTTCCTGGGGGCCGGCCACTTGCCGTGTGGCCTTAGGGAAGCCACTTAAGCTCGGCCTTGGCCCCTTGACCTGTGACCTCGGCTCAGGCTCCCCAAGCTAAATGTTCTCCAAAAGCCTTTCCAGATTGGAACACCATGTTCTTGAGTGCTCGGCCCCGGGCAGTGGGAGAGTTAAGTGACCCCGGAGCCACCGTCTGGCCGTTTGACCTCGGCTGTTAGGGATGTGACCGTGAAAGGCCAGTTTCCCTTTCCCTTCCGCTAACGACTGGGGGAGCAAAACCGTCTCTCTGTCCGCCTTTACGGTTTCGGATCCCCACGAATACATCGTGTTGTCTTTGCTGTTCGCTTGGTTCCTGGGGGACCCCGAGTACGCTTTTAGTTTTTCTTTCTTTTGAGAAATGTACACAACTTGCTTTCTCAGAATCTGCCCCTCGCATAGGGCACTCCTGGTACGGGGGTGAGGGACAGAGCTCGGGTTGTGGGGTGAGGAACAGAGCTCAGGGTACGGGGGTGAGGAACAGAGCTCAGGGTACGGGGGTGAGGGACAGAGCTCGGGGTACGGGGGTGAGGGATAGAGCTCGGGGTACAGGGGTGAAGGACAGAGCTCGGGGTACGGGGGGTGAGGTACAGAGCTCGGGGGCGGGTGGGGCAGAGCGCTGGGGGTACGGGGGGTGAAGGACAGAGCTCGGGGTGCCGGGGTGAGGGACAGAGCTCGGGGTACGGGGGGGTAAGAGAGCGAGTTCTGGGTACGGGAGTGAGGGACAGAGCTCAGGGTATGGGGGTGAGGGACAGAGCTCAGAGTATGAGCTCGGGTTGTGGGGTGAGGAACAGAGCTCGGGGTACGGGGGGTGAAGGACAGAGCTCGGGGTACCGGGGTGAGGGACAGAGCTCGGGGTACGGGGGGTGAGGGACAGAGCTCCGGGTACTGGGTGAGGGACAGAGCTCCTGTGGCCAAGATGTGGCTCTGCAGGGTGCCTCCTGGGTGGGCGGTCCCCTGTGACCCGTGGCCCGGCCCTCCCGTGGCCCCGGGACACTGACCTTGTGCACGGACGCTCTGCAGAATGAAGTATAGGTACTCCCCGCAGGCGCCGGCCGCCTCCACGAACTCCTCCTGCGTCATGGCGCACAGCTGCGGGCCGCTGACGTCGAAGTGGCAGAGGG